TCAAACTAGAGGCTGCTCTGATGCTTTTAATTATGTCTTCGGTTTTTCTCACCATCATTCACTCTCTTTTGTGCTGTCTGGGTGTTCCTTTAGAAGACTGGGTAAGAAGAGCACGCAGAGTTGGCATCAAGGCCGCTGAGAGCTATCAGAAAGAGACAGGCTCTCCCTGGTTGTCTCTCTTTGCAACAGATTGATATCAAATGTGCTGGAGGACACATTGTGCATGTGTGCACTGATTGACTGTAGTGTGTGTTTGTGTGTCTCTGTACAACGTGCATTCACAAAAGCAGGCTGGACACACTCTGAGGAAAAGCAACAGCCTGCCAATAATTACGCAGGCTAATAGAGTAGCTTCTGCTTCGCTCCCTTGTCACTGAGATTCACAGCGGGACGCGGAGGCAGGACGTGAAGCATTGAGATGGAAGTACTGCGACTCTGGACAGAGGCAAATTTAAAGAGAAAAGACTGATTTAGTTCAGGACTTTAACTGCATCTGGATGAGGACACAACAGAAACTTTGCCGACTGGGGACACAAGGAGTATTGAAGATGCACTTTAGAAGTTAGTAACTTCTCTGGTTTGAAGTCTTTTGAGGTTCTTGTGAGGACTTAAAGTTTAATTCCCCAAATATTTTGTTATGATTTTCATCTCTTGCTTTCTAACGTCCCTTCTGTATTCCCAGAGTCCTCCTGGCCAACTTGTTTCCATGGAAACGTGTCCTCAGACAAACCCATCCACTTTACCTCAACACAAAAAAACTGAAAGAGTGAAATGGGTTATTTAAGTAAATTTATGTGAGTGTAACCCAACAACTTCCTTAGCACTCGAGCCGGCAATCTATATTTGATTGATTGAAATTGTACATTCTGGCAAACTTGCTTGGTTCCTTCTGTGTTTGTTGACATTTATAAAGATATATTATTTATTATTGTCTAAATGTCACTAGGACAAAGTGGCCTGTTGTCAGGACAAGCACTGCTTTACAAGTAAAAGCTAAATAAATAAGTAATGACACAGTCGTGGAAGCTGTATCTCGGATCAAATGCACATTGAGGCAAGAAAATTCATAACTGTAGTGTCACTGGAGCTTGGCAGTGTCAGTTAAACCTTTCTTAGTTTACCATAGAAGTTATATTTTTTTAGGTATTTTCCTCAATACTGCACATTTCATATGTTTACTATCAGTTCAGGGGGGCTTCTTCTTCTTCTTCTTCTTTCTATAAAAGGCTTTTTGGTTCTGTGGCCCACCATGTTTTCACTAGTTCATTTCATCCAAATTGTATTATTTGTCGTTTCCTTTACCCCAGAAAAGGCCTTTTATATTTAAATACTTTATATTTAAATCGAGGGGGCCCATTCTACAGAGGCCGCCATGTTTTTTTACATTACTCCAGACTGGACAAACTAAACACCTTTTGAGTTTTTATGACAACTGAAGCTACCACAGGTTCTTTTTCATGATTGGAAGGGGAGGGTGGATGAGGGGTGTTCAGCTGCAACATGCAATTTCATCATTAGATATCACAAAATTGTACACACTGTACCTTTAAATAGAAAATTGAACCAAACCTTGAGCACTGCAGCTGGAGACATTGCATGTCCCATTTATAAATCATGAAAGTGATGAATGAAGATTTACTGGTTTCATAGACACTCTCCTGTTGTAGTGAATAATGCAGGACAAACAATTCCAGGTACACACTTACCTGCACACAGAGAGCACATGGGAAATGTAAATTGAGGTAATGGGTAATAGCAGTGTGTGTGTGTGTGTGTGTTTGTGTGTGTGTGTGTGTGTGAGTGTGTGTGTGTGTGTGTGTGTGTGTGTGTAAGTGAAACAGAGGTTAGACTCAGGGGAAAACAGAATCAATGATGATGCAAGGGCATGAATGCAAAAAACAAAATGTCCAGATACCGTAATAAAGGTTCCCACAATGCAACAGTCAGAATGTGAATGTGAACCAGGACTCAGTAGCATTAAGCTCAGGGTCATCTTACAGTCAAATATGAGATTCAAGGGAATTGAATAAGTGGAAATGTATATTTTTTCTAAATATTAGAGCAGGACAGAGGCTCTGAGTCAGGGGCATATGATAATAAGAGGCCAGAAATTCAGCATGGATTTGAGAAATGGCAACAAAATAGTGAAATATTCACACACTAATTAATATCTATAAATAGGAATAGTCTGTGAAGTTGTGGCATTAGAAATGATGAGTGCTCATCAGCACAAAGGGCTCTGCTCGAGGAGTGCATTAGGAGCAGAGGGACACACAGATAACAGAGAGTGGAAGATTACGATAAGCCCCAACCCTCCAGTTTCTGAGCACAGGCTTTCAAATGAGACACAGGAAAAAAGGGAGAGTGTGAAGGGACGTGATTCAGAGGATGAGATGGATTTGCAGGTGCCGGGAAACTGGCCAGGAGAGGGCGCTCCTCACTTGACAGACTAGCCGATCAGAGCACATGCACACAGCACGCACACATACAAAAACAATGCAGCATCTTCAGCGTATTCACCAGCAGAAGACATTAGTCTTGTTGCGTCTCATATAATCGGACTTTTTAGCATTTCCCAAACACCTCTTTGAACCCTCCTCGACCTCACTGCTCCGTCAGACTCAGGTCTGACTCAACACTACTGAACAGTCTAATGAGCGTCCTCATCCAATGCCTGTGTTCATTTATGCCATCAGTTTAACATATGCAAACACACAGCCCCGCATCGCTCAATCAGACAGAAAGAAGTAACGCTCATTTAGCACAGACACATCTACTGACACAACAAGCTGAGGTTGCCATGGGAACAGGATGCCATGGTAGACTTGATAAATACCGAAACTACTGGGGGGCACAGAGGTTGTCAGCAGCTGTGGAAGCTGCAGAACGTTACTCAGCAGAAGGATATGAGTTTGTGTTTCAGATCAGGAACGTGTGTCTGAATGGTGGTGTGTGAACTTTGAGAGAAATTTTTTGACCAAAATCAGATGCACCACAGATGAGTTTTCCACTGTACTGCGTCTTCTTGACAGCACAATACATCAGAGTAAAGATATTTTCAGAGAAGTGTAACTAAGCTAAAATAAAATTTGCAAATAATTGCAGCCATACTGATTACATGTATACAATGTAGGCTTAATCTATATACACACACACACACACACACACACAGAGAAAGATAATTAACTAAATAAACAGCTATGGGTCCCTTTGCCAGGGCTGCGTCTGCTAGAATCACCCTGGAAAAGTTTCAGAGCCTGAGTCATCCATATTCATAAGGTTATTTTAATAAGTGTCCACTCTGTCAGAACACCTTGTTCTAAGTCCAGTTGAGAAGTGCACCCCTGGGTCCTCCATATTCATACAGCGATTGTCGGCCACTAAACACACAGCAACTGATCCTGCTGGGAGAGCGAAGTCTTGTGAAAATACTCAAACTAACTTGAACTTACATTAGCAGATCTCTTAACACACTTTTCTGTAATTGATTTAACTTGCTTTGCATAAAAAGAGGACTGTTCCATAGCATTAGAAACTCCTGGAGAGAGGGGACAGGATTCAAATTTGACCAGAGACAGGCTTGCACTTAACTTACACTTAACCCTTATCCTGGATATAAGAGTAAAGCTGCTGATTTAGAGGTTTGACAGGTTCCTTATCTGCTTAAATGCAGATGATCTCTCCTCCATGCCCCATAAAACATTAATTTCACGCTGCAAGATGCTGCAGTGATCAGTTCTAACTCCAAGTTTCAACCCGCGACACCTACAAAATCTTGACAAGTTTCTCTTTGTCACCAAGGTTGCTGTGCCCTTGCTGTTCTCTTCAGTATGTGTCTCACACCTGCACAGGAGTGGGCAGTTAGCTTTCTCTCCAGGTGTCCGAGATACACTGCTGTCCAAAGCAGACATCCGTCCTGCACTGTTTGCAGAACAAAGTGCATAACAGAGGGCAAAGTTCACCGCACAGGGCAGATGCTGTTAAGATGACAAAATGGCTGTGAGTCTGACGAATGAGCGAAACACGGCCGGTACCTTAGGTGTTAGGGAGGTTTTGTTAGTGGGATGGATGGTGTGTGAGCCCATGTGCATGCAGCCTTGTTGCAGTCGAGAGGTTAGAGAAGCCGAGTCGCCGGGTGTAAAACGAGAGGTAGGAGAAGTCATTATTGTGAGGACTGCAGCCAGGTACCTGAGTATATCTCCCTGCTCTTCAATTTCATCAGCAACCTCTTCACACCTGCAATAATGTGAAGAAGCCTGTCATCATCACAAGTTCGCAGCAACTGGCCACAGCGATTCCCCGCCCTCTGACACGTGAGTGGAGAAAGCAGAGAGCCCCATGTGATTTAAGGCCCAATAGTAACATGTACATTTTACTATAGACAACATTGTTTGCGAGCAGCTAAGAAGAACAAGTGTATTGTGAGATTCATAATGATAAAGTGGTCATTGGCATATGGCTTAATAGTAAGGAAACAGTAAGACATTATATACCAGCACTACTTGTATTTGTATAACATGAATCAATTATATTATTCCATATATATGCCTCTTATTGTGAAAATTATTTTTACATTTTTATAATCATATTACATACTAATGTGATCTATTCATATATACCATTTTTATTTTCATAGCATATTTTATACTGTTGTGAATTTCTAATATACATATATGTGTTTGCTTCAATATCTCCTTATACATAATGAACAAATATTACTGCAACAAGAGCTGCTGTAACAAGAGAATTTCCCTGGCTCTGGTTCAATAGTTGATCTCATCTTAAAGACTGTAAGGAAGAAAGTAGGAATATATATAAGCAGCAGATGAGATATGATGTACAGAACGTACACAAAAACAGGTAGACAGACAAATATGAACCACCCACTGAGCAGCCATTCCCCCAGCAGCACCACCCACTCATCACTCCCGCTGACCGACTGTCTCCTCCTGTGTGACTGATGTGTTTGGTGGTGAGGGGGACATCTGCTTGGTCCTTACCTGTGTTCCTGTCTGGTAAGATACAGCAATGCTTCTGCAGTATGCCTGGCAACACCTTCAGAAGAGAACAACACAAGGGTAGGGTGGGGAGAGATGAGAGAAAGAGAGATGTTAATATCACAACAACTCAAAGCAGATGAACAAGGTGGTGGAGACAACATAATGCACAGCAAACAGCGATGAATAATAATCATACGATGTCTACTGCAGAAGTTATAACAGAGACGAGCAAAGTCACGGGTAAAGTGCACAATACAATTAAAAAGCGCACAAAATGAAACGTCTCTTTACCATAAATAAAATTGGGGATTTCTCCGGGTTTGAACATTGTCAGAAAACATTTTGGATAAGTACATAAGTCAGTAATATATTAGATCGCTATAGACTATATTTTAAAGAGGAACTGTTAAATATTATATCTGTATGGTGACAGAAAGGGCAGCAACCTCATCGGTCAGTGTGGTGTGGTCATGTTTAGAAGCCTTCTCTGCTCCCTCAGAAGTTATATCAGCAAATCCAACAGCCAGTTACTGCAAGACTCTCAAGCCCGAGGTTGATGTCACTGATCATAATGCATGATTACAGTCCATTTGGTGAAGAGTTCTATAAAAAGTTAATACATCCAAAGGTATATGTCTTAATATTCCACTGTCATCACCTGCCTTTATGTTCTTGGCAAACACTGCAGAATCATTTTCTGATGAATTAAAGTGTGTTTCAGATTCTCTCTATGATCAGACTTTGCTGTGACAATAAACCAGATTACGGGTGTTCAAAAGGTACAAATATGCAGGATTCCCGAGAGAAAGAAGCCCAGGGAACCAAATTGAAGAGGGAGATATGGAAGAGGCTCAGCAGGTTTATCTTTGTTCTTGCATTTATCTGACACAGTCTCTGATCGTTCCAATACTGCAGCAGCCAATCCCCTGCTGACATTGGGCCTATCTCCAGCCTATCACAGGGCTGACACATAGAGACAACAACCATTCCCACTTATATTAACTCATACTGGCAATTAACTGAACCCTGTGTTCGGGCTCTGGGAGGAAACCAGTGTACCCAGAGGAAACCCACGCAGGCACGGGGAGAACATGCAAACTGTATCAGACAGCGGTTCAGACCCTGTCAGTGCTACACGACTGTGGCGCCTGAAGGAATCTAATGACTTTTGTAAAACAGTCAGACCTCTTTTCCTTCTCTCTGGTGTTAAAATCCCTGACTTGCTGGTTATCTCAAAACTCTCAGACCTCTGTCTCACCAATTGTTTTTTTTTTCATCCACTCTGGGCCTGAACCAGACTGATCAGATAAATGTCCGTTTTAATCATTGGAACATATATAAAGGTACCTCTTGAAAAGAGAGAAAAGACCAGATATTAAAAAATGGCTTGTCTCTGGGGACATTCATTGAGCTATATCAACCCACTACATCATTCATGCAGGAGGAAGACCTCGGGCACATCGACTCCTGTCGTCCAGCTTCTTTTTCTACTTGACTAGCAGCACACCAGGAGAGATAATACTGTGATAACATAGACTCTTCCACACTAGTTGTGTTGGTAAATTTATCCTTAGAATTCAGTCAATTCATGACCAACCCATAAACTCCATTTAAGCTTAGTTTGTAAAGGACAGTGTATTTTACTTTTTGACTTTAATTTAAGAAATCTAAATATTAATAACCAAATATTAATCTTAACCAAACTTGTGATGAATCTCTCATTGCAGCACGATGACACCTGTTTATGAGGATGAGGTCATTGAAGACTATGGTCAATCACTTATAGGTGACAAAACTGCTTTTCTGTTTACATCAACATTTCAGCCAAAATGCATGTAGGCAGATTGGTAGACGTCTGAGCATGTCCCCCTTGTGTGTTTTATATGTCAAAATATTCTGAGTGGAATAGTCAGTCAGCATCATGGCTGAGTATTTCCACCTTAACAATGCATTAAAGAAATGCCAGTCTGAAAGAAAACAAACAGATTCAGAGGCAGGGTTTGTGAAGTCAGAAAAATAAGAAACCTATTCTGTCCATTTGTGTATGGAGCTCAGAAGCTGGAAAAGGTTTCAGGTGAACCAACTGCAGGTGAGCTGTGTGGATGGGGAGACGGGGAGCAGGGGCGGGATCATTGTAGCATATTCATAGATCTCTATCAGGTATTGTGTAAAGAAGGTGTAGTTACATTTAAGCTATTTTTAGGCTGTGAGGGGATTTTTTTTTCCATGACAAAAAATATGTAATTTTGAGGAGCAAAGAAAAGTTTGTCCAGAAAAAACCATGCATCACCAAATTTAGTTTAAACTGAAACATTATGTTATTATGTTGACAGTTTCATCTGCATTCTAAAAAATACTACTCAGATATTATTACTATTAGTACTGTGTATGTTATTGTACATTGTACTTATTATACACTTATATATATCTATGCCTGAACCATGTTCCTGTACAGTTTACCATGTAATTATATATCACAACATTTCACCTCACTGTATGTGTCATATCAGATTAATAGATATCTATATCTCCATCCATTCATTCACAAAGAAGTGTTAAAAAAAGTTGAGTGAGAGAAATGGAAGGCTCTGCGGAGATTAGAGACACAATGATTGGTTTGTAATGACTCAAACAGCTGCATGATGTACAGTTCTAATTTATGCTGGGTAGCTGGCTGGCAGGCAGAGGAGTCGTACTGGAGGAGTGTGGAAAAATGAACTGTCAGCAACACTCTTCAGTGTTTCAGACACACGCAGCTGTCACTTGCCTCTCATTTACGCTTTAAAAGGATTGGAGTCCGGATGTGAAGCGCCTAATTTCATATCTGAAAACGCGCTCAGGCATCCATTTGTCTTTTTAAGCTCATCTTGGGATGAGCACAAGAGAGGATTTATGCCACGGTGTTTTATCGAGACAGATAAAGAAGATACACAAGGACAATCCCATGGACACATGTAACTGGGACGAGTGGAAATGCAAAGCAACCGAGATCCTGGTGTGGTATTTTGGGTATTTGTACAGATTTGTTTCCTCGTATTATACACACATTTGAATATGTACTTTATTTCAACGACATTTAATGGCCAGGCTGATTCTGTTCCAAATCTACCTGAAAACATCTCCTTCATTATATCAAAAGCTAGTTAAATATAACCCATTCGAATCAGCAGTTCAATCTGACAGTTTATTTGTTGCAGCCAGTGAAGATGCATCAGAGGAAATCAAATTGATCCTCAATGAGAATCCAAAGAAATAACCTCAGGACTATAGAAGCCCAATCTTGTGAATGACTCTTCAAACCCCATTGAGTCAGTGAAATAATAAAAGGCTCCATTTGGCAATGTTGTAGTAGTTTGCCATCATGCTCCTCCAACAGGACTGGTTGCTGTTCTTTTATATTCCTGAGGCTGAAAGAAAAAGGATTCGGTGTAGAAATCACTGCACTCTGCTGAATTACACACTACTGAATAGAGCTGAAGGTAGAGGAAGTAGATTTTTCCAGTGATTCTCAACTCTCCACTTATCGCCCTGCTCCATCTATAATTCTCATGACATTTGATGTGGAAATGCACAAGATCATGAAGCAGACCGTCAAGAAAGGCAGGTGCTGAATGGGGCTGAATTATTTACTTTTTATATTCGTGCTTCAGACAGACTGGCTTGGGAAAGTAATGAGACCATTTACACATCCATCCATCCGCTTATCCCAAGTTATCCTAGACAACCCTCTCCCTGGACACGCTTTCCATCTCTTCCTCGGGGATCTTGAGGCATTCTTAGGCCAAATGGCATATCTAGTCCCTCCACTGAAAACTGGGTCTACTGGGCTCTCCTTCTGGTTAGGTTTGCCCGGTAAACCTCCAAAGCAAGGCCTCCATGGAGAGGCATCCCGTCAGGACTAGATGGCTGAACTATGTCTCCTTATAACATGAAGGAGCAGCAGTTCTACTGCGAGCTCCCTCTGGATGTCTGAACTCCCCATCCTATCTCTAAGGCTGAGCCCAGCCACCCTATGGAAAATATTCATTTCAGCCGCATGTATTTGCGAACTCGTTCTTCAGTCAGCTTGTGACCATAGGTGAGGGTTCAAACTCAGATCGACCGGTAAATCAAAACCATTGTGTTGCAGCTCAGCTAATTTTTTATGACAGAGTACAACTCCCACATTACTTGAAGATATGACCTTTTAACATATCCACTATCGCATCCACTTTAGCCTATTTTAGATCAGCTCATGAAATAAAAATGAGAAAAGCAGAGAGAATATCACATGGAAATTCACAACTGCATTGAGTTACTCAGGAGGTTCAGGTTTCTGTTTTGTTTCTGAGAATGATCAGAAAAACAAGGCTAATGGATTTTAAGTCATGTGGTTCTTTTCACGAGCACTGAAGACTGTTGAGGCAGCCATGGAAAAGACAAACAAGCAAATGCACACTCCCATAGCTGAGATGAACGATCAAACCAACCAGGTGAGTCACACACTGCTTGAGTTGATGGAGACATGTTTCTCACTTCTATCAGCTTAGTGGGGAAAAACAACCTTATATGTAAAAGTGCTGATTACTTCTCCCCTGAACATCCATTTGTCTGAGGGATTGTTTTTCCTGGAGTCTGACTCATAAGACTGGAGAGTGAGGATCACAAACAGCCTCCAAAATTTAACTTGTGAAAAAGCAGATATTAAGAAATGTATATATATATAAGTAATATAAGTTACAACAACAAAAGCACAAGTAATTGAGTCAACGTTATATTTTAACAGTGACCACTACATGCAGAACCCTCAGTCAACTCAGTTGTACTGGACGTGTGACAATGACAACCTTATTCCTTATTATTATCAAATTAAGACAATAGTCTGAATAAAACACTGTCATGTAAACAGCATTTTCTGATACTTTAACCAGAAATAGGTCAGACTCAGAATGAGCAATAATCAAATTAATATATGTGGAGTATTCTAATCTTAGTACTTCTAATCTAAGTCTTAATTGCAATATAAAATCCTATTAGGGTTTTCAAATTATTTTGCGTATTGACATAAAGCAGTCA